ATTCCAAAGGAAAATGTGTCATAAAGTGTAAAAAATCCTTGAAGGATTCAAATTGCTTGAAGTAAGCCCCCGAAAGGTAAAACATAAATTATGTACTCAATACCAATGGATGGTATAAATTGCCATAGTGAGTACTATTGATGTGAAATATATAAGCACACAAATTAAACCCTCTTTTTATCAATTGTAGCAAAGTATGTAAGTAGAGATCGTTCTAAACCGGGGATTAGGAGGGATTGCTAAACACTTGAAAACTGACTTAAAAACGTAAAAACAAAGTTTAAAATACTAAACTAGACTCAAAGAATGCAAAACTAAAATTTAAAACACTAAAACAAACCAAAAGACTCAAAACAGCAACCAAACACTCAAAACTGCCTTAAAAACACTTTCTGGACAGTTTTGAACACAAACACAAATTTGGACGAAATTGGGTTACAACTTGAATCAAAATACTTAAAAACACAAACTAAATGGATTTCTAACTAATCTAACACTTTAAAATAAAGGGGGATTTGGTTTTGACGAAATTGAAAACAAGACAAAACATTGTAATTAAAACAGATTGTAAAACGAATTGGGAGTTTAAATGGATGATGGATTAGTTAGAGGTTCTTTCTCCACACATGACACGTATGCAAACAACTCGATTTCCAGTTATTCCTTCATAGAATTATGAACGACATTGCCCCAAATTAACCGTGACATCACTAGCTAACTCTCAGATTTTCCTTGTATTATTGGATTGGATGGCATCATTCGACAACCCAATGCATTCTTCAAAGGTCCCCTACATGACATCATAACAGAGATACGATCAAAGATCATTACGTTCAATGAAAACCATAAGCAATGACAAAGCACTTGCAACTATGACATCATGTCACTCATGCTAGGAATTGAACTTAACGCGATTGTGACTAGCAACCTTCACTACATATGAACATAAATTTGTAACGATTATGTGAAACATCCTTATACTCTAGCATCAGATTTATGCATGCCAATCAAGTGTCGACCCCTAATTAACAAACACAAATAAGTTATTAATCAAATAGTTAAACCAATTGCATTCACGTTTCAAGAATTCATAACTGGAATTTATCAAATCAAATTGAACACATAGTCATGGCTTTGAAATCACCCCTAACCAATAGGGGTTTAGCCACTCATGTTCATAGCAAAACGAAAAGAAAAGAAATTACACATTGAAATCATAAAACGAATTACACCTATAATGCACCAACAATGAAGCTTGGACATCCAAGGGTCCTTCCTTCTTCCTTCTTGCTGCGGCACATGAGTGTATGTATTGTGTTTAGGGTCAGAAGTTATGGAGATTGGTGAAGGATGGGCATGGCAAAGGGAGGTTGGATGGTTTCTGCGTGAATGGGAGTGAACGGATGATTTGTGGCAGCAAAAAGGAAGTTTATATAAAAAGGGATTTCAGGAATTAAAACCCTAGGTTATTTAGGTAAACAGAAATTAAGTCAAAAGCTTCTAGAATTAGGGAAACAAATCAGAAATTTAAAAGAAATAAGCTAAAAGGTGCGGCATGGGATTAAACACAAAAGCAATGTGTTTTAATTCAGAAAATAGGAAAGAATCACTCTCCCTTGCACGGCAAGGAAGGTGGAATATGGGGTAAGTGCGGCAAAGGTCTCTAAGGGTTCTAGGGCCTTTGTTTTGTGTCCTTAAGTGCATATGAAGTCCTCAAAGTGGCTGGAACATAAGTATTTTTAGAATTAGGAAAGGTCAAACCAAAATAGGAAACCTTGGCTTAACTTTCCTACTTCAAGTAGGAATCCTTGTTGGAGTAGGAATCCTTGTTCTTCCAGGAATCCTCATGTGATTAGGAATCCATCTTCAATTAGGAATCCTTCGTTGATTAGGAAACCTAATTTCTTCAAGTCTTCAATTCATCCATTCCTTTTGCTTCAAAAGGCTCCAAATTACATCATTTTGCACACTTTGGCCTTAGAATCTGAAAACACACAAAAGTGACTTTAAACACTAAAATAACTAAAGAAACACAACGTAAAAGCACGAGAACAAGCCAATAAAGTCGCATAAATATGCTCCTATCAACTATCATTATGATATTGTTGCAACATACTAAAATCTCTTGCAAGAGTCAATGACATTAAATTAGAACTCCTGAAGAGTTGATAATATTAAATTGAGACTCCTGAAGAGTTAAGAAAGATTATAAAGTGTTGAGAGAATTATTGTCTCGAGCTGCAGATCGAACAATCTACCAACACGAATCTTATCCATAATGTTTATGATATTAAAAAACCATATGGATTGAAGATTATGAGTTGAATACTCAAATGATGTAGACACTACGAATAATCATTTATCTTCGTGAGGGTAAAGATAAATTAATATTTGGTCTAGAAGTATCACATCTTAGTGAAATATATGCTTTATTGTATTTGGCACAATACATTGAATGAAATAAAGCTTATCTATTAATATCTCCAAGAAATTATAGATATGTACATACACATGAGTTAAAACAAACAAACAGGATGGAGCCTTCACAAAGGTTGCTCATGTGAAGCCTCAGTACTCGAAAGTACCCCAGAAGGGGGAGACACTGGAGATTGATCATGTGGCACCCCAATACTTGGCAAAACACTAGAAGGGGAAGGCATCAGTTGCTTTCGGAATCTAGCAACGAACCTCTGGTGATCACTTTGAATCTGACTTTCGGATTCCTGCAGCTGGTCGAGCTTTCTTTTCATGCTCATAGAGTAATTATTTGCAAGCACGTGTAACACTCTATTCTCGTGCTTGAGCCTTCTAATCTCTTGCTTAAGACTTGCCACCTCTGCCATCAATGATTTAACTTGGGGAGTTTGAGCAAGTAGGCGTTGGCCCGTATTGGAAACAGAGCCAGCACACTGAACACTGAGAGCCAAGGAGTCTTGAACGGTCGACTTATCAGACCGTTTTGAAAGGATTCTATTATCCTTTGGAGTGAGAAGATTCTTAGCTAACACTGTACTGGTTATGTTATTCTTCATCACAGAGTCCTCAACCATAAAAGGACCATTAGAAGATAAAAAGAACGGGCCCCATATATTATCCTGATGCTGCTCGTCTGTATCACTCCTAAGACTCAAATCTAAGTAAATGTTAGATGGGCAAGCCATTTTTAGAAAATGATGAAGGAGAAGGAGGTCAGATAAATTGAAATCTCAGAAGTGCAAAAAAAAGGGGAAAATTCTATAGGCAGTAATTTTCTGAGCCTACTCTTGAACACAATTGATGTCTCTATAAAAGAAGAGGCAACATAGCTACTTGTTCAGAGATCAAAGAAGCATCGCTCTCCGAATTTCAAAAGCCAGATTTTCCTAAATAAAGTTCGTTGGCATTTTTCAGACGCAATGTCAGCTTTTCGGATATCGCGTGCAACTTTGTAAAAAATCTCTGACAAAGTTGAAAATGCGTAAATCTTACTATTCTAATTACACAACAGTAACTGACAAGAGTAAAGGCATAGCATCACTATCTGCTACTGGGAAATCTCTATATATGTCGACCTCAGTTCTCCATAACAAGGCAGACCTGGAAGAATGCCTAATTCTTCCTCATCTCCGAGAATGCATCTTTAACAAAGCATCACGAAATACTCAGTTTTCTTCCTCTCCGAGAATACCTCTTCAAAACAAGTCATACCAGAGCAAGAGTACCTCATATCATTAGGGATGAGAGCAATACTATCTCCTATCATGCAATCTCCCTGTCTTTTCCTTTGTCATTGTTCTTACCTGCAAAAACAAGGATAAACAAAGCAATATGTCGGAACCTCCACTCAAATTTTCAGTTAGGAACCGACTGCCTGGAACCTTTGCCTGGTTTCTTACCTTGCATTGCCCTCGAGTACTCATCTTTAGGGCAAAGGTTGCATTTCACTAAATACTACAAGAGAAGATGTTACACAAGCATGGGGGAAAACCAGGGAAAATACCACTTATGCAAGGGGAGTAAGTAAGGTAAGTGAAAATAATAAATTGAAGTATGTGGAGACAAACACAACAAAACATGTGTCGATTCATCCCAATGGAGCCAAAGATCACTTGTTACGTGGGGCTGCTCATAGTTCCATTTCATTTAAGAACAAGTCCTAAAGCCCTTAAAGGAATCACATGTCCGATTCAAGATCAAGTGTCCACCATCCTTGAATCAAATTCAGCTCCAGATAAAAGGAGTAAATTCAGACCTTTGGATCAAGTCTCGCAGAAGGTCATCCAGCCCAGTTCAAGAACAAGCCTGTGGAAAGTTAACAACAAGTAAAGCACCTCTTTCAGCAACTCTTCTCGTTAAGAAATTGAAGCAGAATGATCAACGATCAGCCTAAATGATTTGAAATCAGAGGGAGATACTCATCAGGGGAAGCATCCAAGACATATTAAGATTTAACAAGACAATCGAAGACTTGTGGCCATCCAATGGGGAATGTTGTAAATATGGTGGATGTCCACACTTGCCACTAATCCACTAATCTACAAGTGGGAATAATGTTTGCCAAAGCTTGCCTCATACGATTCTCATTTTCTATAAATACAATCCCACACAACATAAAAAAAGGTGGTGAGGTTCACGGGTGAGAGAGGAAGGAAAAGAAAGAAAGAAAAGAGAGGAAGGAAGAGGAAGAGAGAAAAGAGAGGAAGATGAGAGGAGATAATAGAGAGAATTATCTTTGTACTCTTATTATTTCAGATTATAATGAAAGCACCACTACTGCCCCGAGGACATACTCCAGTCACACTGATTATAGAGGAACCTCGTAAATTTTGTGTCCTGTTTCATTTATTCCATTGCACCCACCGTTGATTTTACAACATAAAAAGCATTGTAACCGTAAATCCAGGAAATTATAAAAATCCATCCAGTCAAGAGACAATATAATAGTAGTGGGAAGGTGAGTATGCAACAAAGAATGTAAGATATACTTGACTTGCAATTCCATTATAATTGCACACAAGAAAAAGATCACATTTTGATTGAAATATCACACAAAATAATCTCATCTGTTACAAATTGGACCAACTAAATAAAGAATCTATTAATATGACTTTCAACCTAACTATAAAAAAGAATGAGAGATGAGTACAAACTCTAGAGCTTCGTTTACCAGAATCTCCCTTGAACGGGAAGAATACCAATTAACCCCTTCTCTTCCCGCTACCATAACTCATTCTCCACCAATTTGACACTACCTTAATCAAATTCCCCAATTTTATCAATTCGATAATCCACCATTTAAACTCCGACTGTGTAAGTTTATCTTACATTGCCGGTCCCAAGCCCGGATAAAGGAGGAGGAGGAGGGGGAGGGCGTCAGGTAGTCGACAGCCGGCACTCCTCAGTTACGTCAAATCCTTATGAAAATGAATCCAGAACGAAATCACGCTAAGGCTAGGACTGTCACCTGTAAGTGGCGCGCTGTGTAGCCCGAGCACAGTGATAAGTGAGCAAGGGTCGCTGTATCTCCATCGGCACCCGGATGCAGTGTTAAATGAGCAAGGGGGCCATTGAAACTTCTTTTCGAACGACTCCACTCAAAGTTGTTTAGGAGCATATGCTCCTATCAACTTTACACATGACACACAAAAGAAGTACTTTGATCCTATTAGACGGGGGATGATGAAGAAGCTAGGACAGAAGGGTAGAGTTCAAGAGAGTAGAATGTGTTTAGGAACGTGGAATATAGGAACCTTAACGGGAAAATCTATGGAAGTAGTGGAAGTTATGGTGAGGAGAAGGATAAATATTATGTGCCTACAAGAAACTAAGTGGGTTGGTCTTAAGGCAAATGATCTAGAAAACTCAGGGTTTAAGCTTTGGTATTCGGGCACAAATAGAACGAGAAATAGTGTTGGCATCATCGTAAACAAGACCTTGACACAAGATGTTGTAGATGTCAAGAGGGTAGGAGATAGAATCATGGCAATCAAGATTGTAATAGGACAATAACTCATCAATGTGATTAGTGCGTACGCACCTTAAGTAGGGTTGGATACGAGTTCAAAGGAGAAATTTTGGGAAGACCTTGGAGACTTGGTGCAAGGAATTGCTCAGACAGAGAAGTTATTTATAGGAGGAGATTTAAATGGACACGTGGGCAGGGAGACAGGTAACTATGGAGGTTTTCATGGTAGCCATGGTTTTGGGGAGAGAAACGAGGATGGGGAAGCTATCTTGGATTTTGCAATGGCATATGATCTCTTCTTAGCCAACACTTTCTTTAAGAAGAGAGAAGAACATGTGATCACCTACAAGAGTAGGTCGTCAAAAACACAAATAGATTTTCTTCTAATGAGGAAAGGGGATCGTATAACTTGTAAGGATTGCAAAGTTATACCAGGGGAGAGCTTGGCTAATCAACATCGCTTGTTGGTGATGGATGTACATATCAAAAGAGTGAGAAAAAATAACAAGACTTGGAAGTGTCCAAGGACTAGATGGTGGAATCTAAAAGGAGAAAAACAAGCAATTTTCAAAGAGAAAGTAATCACCCAGTGTGTGGGATAGAGAGGGGGAAGCTAGCCAAAGGTGGGATTCCATGGCTAGCTGTATCCGAAAAGTAGCAAAAGAGGTATTAGGAGAATCCAAGGGTCTTGCTCCACACCAAAAGGAATCTTGATGATGGAATGAGGAGGTACAAACAAAGGTGAAGGCTAAGAAGGAATGTTGTAAAGCCTTATACAAGGATAGGACCGATGAAAATGGTGAAAGGTATAGAAGAGCGAAGCAAGAGGCGAAGAAAGCTGTGAGAAAAGCTAAGTTAGCGGCTTATGACGATATGTATAAGCGACTAGATACCAAAGAAGGAGAGTTGGATATCTACAAACTAGCTAGAGCAAGGGAAAATAAGACAAGGGACCTAAACCAAGTGAGGTGCATCAAGGATGAGGATGAAAAGGTTCTTGCTACAGAGAACGCGGTCAAAGACAGATGGAGAGGTTATTTTCATAATCTTTTCAATGAAGAACATGAAAGGAGTACTTCTTTAGGGGAGTTGAGTAACTCAGAAGAGTAGAAACTACTCATTTTATCGTCGAATCAGGAAGGAAGAAGTGGTTGTAGCTTTGAAGAAGATGAAGCATAGAAAAGAAGTGGGCCCAGACGATATACCGATTGAAGTGTGGAAAGCCTTGGGAGAGACAAGTATAACATGGCTCACTGACCTTTTCAGTAAGATTTTGAAAATGAAGATGTCAAATGAGTGGCGAAAGGGCACTTTGGTGCCTATTTACAAGAATAAGGGCGACGTACAAAATTGCATGAATTATAAGGATATTAAGCTAATGAGTCATACAATGAAGCTCTGTGAGAGAGTCATTGAGCATAGATTGAGGCAAGAGACATGGGTTTCGGACAACCAATTCGGGTTCATGCCAGGGCGCTCAACCATGGAGGCAATCTATCTCTTACGAAGATTGATGGAAAGATATAGAGATGGGAAAAAGGATTTACACATGGTTTTTATAGATTTGGAAAAAGCGTATGATAGGGTCCTAAGAGACATTCTTGGAGGATTTTAAAGAAGAAATGAGTACGAGTAGTATATATCCAAGCTATAAAGGATATGTACGAAGGAGCAAAAACTGCTGTAAGAACTCATGAAGGACAAACCGAAAGCTTCCATATAACTGTAGGATTACATCAAGGCTCATCCTTAAGTCCTTACCTTTTTGCGTTGGTAATGAATGAGTTAACAGGACATATTCAAGATGATATTCCTTGGTGTATGCTTTTCGCAAACGATATAGTGTTGATAGATGAAACTCAGGAAGGGGTAAATGCGAAGCTTAACCTTTGGAGAGAAGTGTTGGAATCTAAAGGTCTTCGCCTAAGCCGATCAAAGACAGAATATATGGAGTGCAAGTTCAGTGCAAATAGAGGCCAAAATGAGTTAGGGGTGAGGATCGGAGATCAGGAAATACCAAAGAGCGACCGTTTTCGCTACTTAGGATTTATCTTGCAAAAGAACAGAGAATTAGATGGAGATCTCAACCATAGAATACAAGCTGGATGGATGAAGTGGAAGAGTGCATCCGGCGTGTTGTGTGATCATCGTATACTACTGAAGCTCAAGGGAAAATTTTATAGAACAGCAATAAAGCCGGCGATGTTGTATGGCATAGAATGTTGGGCGGTGAAACATCAACAAGTACACAAAATGGGTGTAGCGGAGATGAGGATGCTTCGTTGGATGTGTGGGCACACGAGAAAGGATAAAATTAGGAATGAGGATATCCGAAGTAAAGTAGGAGTAGCCGAAATTGTAGTAAAGCTGAGAGAAAATCGGTTACGGTGGTTTGAACATGTGCAAAGAAGGCCTACTGACGCTCCGGTTAGAAGATGCCACTACGGGACAGAGGTTCAGGGCCGAAGGGGTAGAGGAAGACCTAGGAAAACTTTGGAAGAGACGATAAGAAAAGACTTAAGAGTACTTGGATCTAACGGAGGACATGACACAGGACCGAGCACAATGACGTTCTAAGATTCATAAAGTTGACCCCATTCAGTAACTTGGATTTTTCAAGTCTCCAACCGAGAAGTTTTCCTCACTCGGGAAATTAAGGGAACACTACCTCAACCTACATGCTCCACTCACAAAGCTTCAACATACAAGCTTCAACAAAAGAAAAATTCAAAGAACTTAGTGAAGAAGGCTTTGGTGTATTTAACACATTACGTTGAAATGAAACAAAGCTTATTTATTGATATCTCCGATAAGTTACAAATATGTACATATACATGAGTCAAAATAAACAAACAAGAGTGAGCCTTCATAAAGGTTGCTTAGGAGAAGTTTCAGCAGTCGGTAGAGCCCCAGAAAGAGAAGGCACCGAAGGGGGATCATTCGGAGCCTCAGTACTAGACAGAACCCTAGAAGGATGAGGCATCGGAGGTTGATCATTTGGAGCTTCATTACGCGATACAGCTCCAGAAGACGAAGGAAATAAATGCCTTTGGAACAAACCCACAAATCTCTGATGATCATGTAAAATCTGACCATCAAATTCCTTCATCTGGTCAAGCTTCCTCTTCATGTTTGTAGCATAGTCATGTGCGAGTCGATGCAATTGTTTATTCTCATGCTTGAGCCCTCTAATTTCCTGTTTGAGACTCATCACTTCAGTCGCCAATGATTCAACTTGACGGGTTCGAGCAAATAGGCGTTAGGCCATATTAGACACAGAACCTGCACACTGAACACTGAGAGCTAGAGAATCCTTAACAACCAACTCATCAGACCATTTGGAAAGTAGTCTGTTATCTTTGGGAGTGAGAAGGTTCCTGGCCACCACCGCAGCGGTCATATCATTCTTCATCACGAAATCCCCAACGGTAAGTGGACCAGTAGGGGATAAAAAGGATGGGCGCCATATGTTGTCTGGAGAAGGCGTGACTACCTCTTCAATAAGGTTCAAGTTAAAACGACGGTTGGAGGGGCCAGACATTTTCAAAGGTGTTGAAGAGAGAAGAGGTCGGACAAATCAAGAACTTAGAAATGCAAGAAGGAAGCTTCTACTGGTGGAGATTCAAGTGTGATTTGGAACTTAATGCCAGCCTCTATAAAAATCTGCACTCGACGGAGCTTCAGAAATCAGGCGCCTGCTCAGAAATCGAAAAGGCGTTGCTTTCTTAAAAGCTGGGCTGCTCAGAGACCACGATGGCCGATCTCAGAAATCAAAGAGGCATTTGCTTTCTCAAAAGTTGGGCTGCTCAAAGACCACGAAGGCCGATCACAGAAACCGAAGAGACGCTTGCTTTCTCAAAAGCTGGGCTGCTCAGAGACCACGAGTGCCGATCTCAGAAATCGAAGAGGCACCCACTTTTTCAGCCTTGTCAGCACCTGTCATATGTACACTCAACTTTGCGGAAATTACGGGCATTCTGTCGAAGATTTCTAGTGAAGTAGAAAGCACGTGAATGTTACTGTTCAATAATCCATTTTCCACAAGCAACATCAGCTCACGGGTACCACATATAACTTTGCCAAAGATCTCTGACAAAGTTTAGACACGTGAAGCTTGCAGCTCCCATTACATCGCTATGACCAAGAAGGGTAAAAGAATAGTAAAGAAACAGCACTAACAAAGTTTAGACACATAAATTTTGAAGGTCTAACTACCATATTATTACCCACAAGGGTAAAGGAACAGGACCACTGCTGGATAATTGGAAAGTCCCTGTGTGTCAATCTCTGTGCTCCGTGGCAAGGTAGACTAGCAAACAGGCCCAACCTTTACTTACATTCGAGAAAACATTCCCAACAAGATTGCTTGCTTCAAGATCGAAGAGGCACTGCCCTCCGAATCTCGAGAGCCAGACTCCCAACATGATTACTTTCTCAAAAATCGAAGAGACACCGCTCTCCGAATCTCGAGAGCCAGACTCCTAGCAGGATTGCTTTCTTAAAAATTGAAAAGGCACCGTTCTCCGAATCTCGAGAGACAGATCCCCGACAGGATTGCTTGTTCGAAAACCGAAGAGGCACTGCTTTCTCAACTTCGAAAGCCAGATCTTCTTGGATAAAGCTTGTTTGTAATCTTCACATCGCTTTCTCAACTTCGAGAGCCAGATCTCCTTGGATAAAGCTTGTCTGTAATCGTCACACGCAACATCAGCTTTCTAGATATCACAGACCACTTTTTCAAAGTGCTCTGACAGAGTTAAAACACGTGAAGCTGGCAGCTCCCACTACCGTGTTATGACCAAGCGGGGTAAAGAAATAGCATTACTACTTGTTGTTAGGGTGATTCCTATATATGTCGACCTCCATCCTCAATGGACAGGCAGACCTACAAAAATGCTCAACCCTTTCTCATATCTGAGAGGGCACTCCCAACAAAGCCTCTCGAAATACTCAGCTTTCTTTCCCCTCGAGAATACCTCTGCAAACAAGCTACACCAGAGTAAGAATATCTCATATCATCAGGGTTAAAAACAAGAGTATCCCATATCATGCTTTTTCCCTGTCTTTTCATTTGGCCTTGTTCTTACCTGCAAGACAAGGAGAAAGAGAGCAATCAGTCAGCACTTGGAATCAAGCTTCGAGTCCGGAACTGACTGCTTGGAACCCCTTACCTGATTACTTACCTAGCATTGCTCTCGAGTACTCATCTTCAACATCTTATGCTTCCAGAGAAGATACCACATCTGCCTGAGGAACAGATAGAGTAAGTGAGAAGGATACAAGGAAGCATGTGGAGACAAGCGTAACAGAACACGTGCTGATACATCCACTACTTTGTCAACAGTAAAAGTATCCCATATCAGCAGGGTCGAACGTACTCTAGATTTGATGGACTTGTTTTGACCCTCAAATTCTTCAGTCGGCCTTATACTCTGGAGGAAACCAAAAAACCCTCCAGCCCAGTTCAAGAATAAGCATGTGGAAAGTTACTTCTTCAAAAGCAAAAGTATCTTATATCACCTCTTTTCCTTTTCTTATCTTTATCCTTCATGCTGCTTGCAAGATAGGGAGAATGAGAACAATAAGCAGGAACTCGAAATCAAACTTATGATCTAGGACTGATTGCTTGGAGCTCTGATTGCTTACCTTGTCTGTTACCTCTTTCAGCAGATCCCCTAGCTCGGCGACTTGGGGGACTCCTACTACATGGTTTGTATCGCGCTTGACCAAGCCTGAAACTACAAGTAAGCTTCAAGTGAAATTGATACATTACCTCGTGCATCTCCACCAGTTAAAGATACCACCCCTGGATGGAGGAAGAGTACTTCCAGAGAAGATGCCACATCTATCTATGAGACAGATAAGGCAAGTGAAGATGATACCACACTTCGGTACTTAGAAGTTTTGTGATTATGAGATCATTATCCCACAATATTTCCTAATGTCATTTGTACTAAATCATTCATTTGTACTCACTAAAGGAGAGCTTGAACCTATGTGCTGTGTAAACCCTTCACAATTAATGAGAACTCCTCTACTTCGTGGACGTAGCCAATCTGGGTGAACCACGTACATCTTGTGTTTGCTTTCCTGTCTCTATCCATTTATATACTTATCTACACTAATGACCGGAGCAATCTAGCGAAGATCACAAACTTAATACTTTCTGTTGTATCAAAGTCCTCACTGCTTTTGTGCATCAACAATCCGTAAGTCCTTACCTTTTTACGTTGGTAATGGATGAGTTAACAGGACATATTGAAGATGATATTCCTTGGTGTATGCTTTTCGCAAACGATATAGTGTTGATAGATGAAACTCAGGAAGGGGTAAATGCGAAGCTTAACCTTTGGAGAGAAGTGTTGGAATCTAAAGGTCTTCGCCTAAGTCGATCAAAGACAGAATATATGGAGTGCAAGTTCAGTGCAAACAGAGGCCAAAATGAGTTAGGGGTGAGGATCGGAGATCAGGAAATACCAAAGAGCGACCGATTTTGCTACCTAGGATCTATCTTGCAAAAGAACAGAGAATTTGATGGAGATCTCAACCATAGAATACAAGCTGGATGGATGAAGTGGAAGAGTGCATCCGGTGTGTTGTGTGACCGTCGTAGGCCACTGAAGCTCAAGGGAAAATTTTATAGGACGACAATAAGGCCGGCGATGCTGTATGGTACAGAATGTTGGGCGGTGAAGCATCAACAAGTACACAAAATGGGTGTAGCGGAGATGAGGATGCTTCGTTGGATGTGTGGGCACACGAGAAAGGATAAGATTAGAAATGAGGATATCCGAGGTAAAGTAGGAGTAGCCGAAATTGAAGGAAAGATGAGAGAAAATCGGTTACGGTGGTTTGGACATGTGCAAAGAAGGCCTACTGACGCTCCGGTTCGAAGATGTGACTACGGGATAGAGGTTCAGGGCCGAAGGAGTAGAGGAAGACCTATGAAAACTTTGGAAGATACCCTAAGAAAAGACTTAAAGTACTTGGATCTAACGGAGGACATGACACAAAGCCGAGCACAATGGCGTTCTAGGATTCATATAGCCGACCCCACTTAGTGGGCAAAGGCTTTGTTGTTGTTGTTGTTGTTGATAATCCACCAGTTAGAAAAATCCAACTTACAAACCGCATAATGATCAATTACCTAGAAAAAGGAAAAAGGGAAGTTGGCACTTGCAATTAACTCTGGTAAAATTGAAGAAGAAAATATGCAAAATTTTTGCAACAAAAAATAAACAACACAGTTTGGGCAACAAAGAGCATAAAAAGGAACATAATTTCCAAGCAAGCAAAGTAATTGCAAAGCTATAAATTTTGTGCTGAGCTAAAATAGCTATCGGTTAAAGTACATACAAAGTTTTCTTAGGATTCAAACAGAAAAAACAATTAATCAAAAGACAAATTTTAAAGCTCAAAGGTACCTGTCGGGTGAAGTGCAATGAATTCGAAGATGGCGCAGGGTAGAAGGACCTTGTTTCATAAAGGAAAGATGCCTAGGCGAGTGGGAAGCTCCACCAATTCCAACATATTTGGAAGTTGCACAAAGAGAAAAAATAAATAAAAAATAAGAATCAGAGGAGGTAGAGAATAGAGGCATTACCATATAAGTGCCTAACCGAAAAATAAAAAACTTAACACAGAATTATGGATGTTGTTGTACACCATTTTAAATGAAACTAAAAATTCATGACTACAACTTATTTTCTAAAATCTCCAAACGGAAAGTTAACCACCGAACATTTGAATAACCCGAAGAACTTCCTCGTGCACCACAAAGTTCCCAAAACCAGTCCCTTGACAATGATTTAAGGTGAAATAAAGTGAATTCAGCATAGAAACTTCTATAAAGAAGTACCTTCCAAGAACAGAAGCGAGAGTGTTAAAACCACAATTTCCCTCTCTCCCTATACCTGCCTCAGCTATCAAACCAAACCAAACCAATTATCAATTTTGGAGTTATCAAATTTAATCAGCACAGAAAATTATAATCAAACCCAAACAAAAGTCTAAACCCAAACTGTGATTTCAATAAAATAAAACACCAAAAAACCAAATTCAAGTCGAATATAATAAAAAAACCAAACAAAACTCTATATCAAAACTCTGGAATTTTGAAACTGCTCACTTTAAATATAGAGGGCTTCGTAGAATGCAAAGAAAAGTCCCAAATCTGAAAAACCACGACCTCCTAAAGCTGAATCCGAACCCACAAACAAAATCCCCAAAATCACAACCAAAAAATTTAAACAAAAAACCCATTAAACAAACACACGTAGAATCATAGGCTACAAACAAAACCCCCAACACAATCCCAAATGGAAGAAAAGGGTAAATGCAAGAAGAAGAGGTGTGACAGTGAGGGAGAGACACAATCCCTCAACCCCACCCTCTTTCTGCAGCCCATACACTCGTTCCTTCAACCCTACCCTCAAACCGTGCACCCAATCAACTCTCTTTTTGTCCCCCTAATCATGCACCCGCCCTCACCCTCTCTCTGCAACCAACCCCTTCCCATATCTCCCCCAAATCATGCCCCCACAACATCTCATCAGTGAAGAATCAATTCCAAAAGTAAATTGCAGTTACCTATTATCACAAAGAAAAGAAAGAGAGTTGATTGGGTGCACGTAATAATAGCTAAAGGAAAGAAAAATAATAAGATAAAAGAATACATAGCTATTCGGCCATAACTGCATCCTATCTAAAACGCACTAAAATGCCAGAGATAAAGTTTGGAACTCAGCATGGTATAACATTTAAAGATGACAACCAATGTAAATTTATGAAAAGCGAAACCACCCCATTGTTTTGAATGTTGTTATTTTGGGAAACCTTGGAAATCACAATGAATAGCATCTAGGGCCGAGAATAACACGCTCCTATTGAAGAATGTATCCATTGCCACACAGCTGAACATCACAAAGAAAATTAAACACAAATTCAACATTCACAATGCAAAAATCCATAGGGGAGAGAGAGAGAGAGAGAGAGAGAGAGAGAGAGAGAGAGAGCAAGAAAGAGGGAGAGAGAGTACCACAAAGTCCCAATTTTCAATCCCACTGCAGAGAGAAATTGATCAGATCCTCGTATCCCTCAATAAAATGTATATGAATAATTTACAAATTTGTTAAAACTCATAAATTTCTTCCGTCACTGTAAATTTTAACCATTCATTTGAATTCACAGACCCGAAAATGTCACCAATTCACTAAATTTACATACAAATGGGAGAAGTACAAAAACAAAGACAATGGCAGAAATTATACCATACAAATTACACTACGAAAAATTTAGAGACCAAAATCCTTGTTAACAGAATTTATTCACATTAAAAGACACTTTCGGTTAAAAAACTATCAAATTTAAACTATGATATCATATGATAAAATCTTAATTTAACTCACAATCTCAAGAAGTCGAAACCATGTTAAGTAAAAGAAACAAATTGAAAAGAACATGAAGATGTAAATATTGATAAGAATAACAAAAGTGGCAATACTGATATTATACACAGATAGGACAATGAAATATTGGAACCAGCAGCAACAAATAGAATTAAGAAAAAAAAGTGTTTGGGTGGGCTGCCCATTTAAGGTTTGGGTTAGTTTGGTCGGGTTCCGGCCGGCTAAAGCTAGAGACTTGAGAGGGGGAGGTGGGTGTGTTGAGAAATAAGACAGATTGGATTGGGAATATTAGGGTTTTGATGGAGAAGAAGAGGAAGGGGAGAGAAACCCTAGACCCACCTCTGTCACTCTGCAAAGTACCCTCAACCCACTCTTATTGAGACCGATGGAACACCCTTTCTGAACTTCCGAGAAAATACAAACAGTACCTCCAAAAACACTTAATTTGCATGGTTGACAACATAAAGGGTACATATGCACCAATTTCACTCTTAAATTCAAAAGAGGAAAAAAATTAGGATTAGAGTTTCATGGCTCTCACCCGAATTTGGTTGCTATCAAGCACACTCAACCATTCAAGTTCGCACATCCTCAAACGATCACCACCCAGAGAAAGGCTAAATATGCAACACGAAAGCAGAAAAGCAATGAACATTCTAAACAGACAATGATGTAATCTATTCTGTCATTTAAACTCATACTTATTTTTGACAATACATAGTCATTTGCACCCTGATTAAAATGAGCGTCGGGTATAAGCAATTGGCTGTGCGTCCATGTGCATATTGCCAGCAGCCAATTCACCTGAAGAGAGAGGTAATAACAGTTGCTTTGAGAAAAAACAAATTGTAAAACCACGGTTTAAATCGAACAAATACCATGGTTACTGAGATTTTTAAGTGGAGACCCTCAAGGCAAATGACAGTGATAATCCCTCCTTCAAGAGTTCAGCATCGAGGAAGAACATAAGTATGAAATCCGAAAAGGTGGTGTCATCTGGAAATAACACATGAAGACGTCAACAACAAAGAGGTGCATGTATGTTTTTTTGAGGCAAACAAAATAATATTACAACATGATACTTGATTAACACTCCTCTCGAAATTGACTATGCAGACCCTAACTTTTATCTGGAAACACATAAAAACTACAAAATCACAACTCGCTTTTAGTGGATCAATGTTTCACTCTGAAATCTCTATTTTAGACTTGGTATTGAGAAACAAAAAGTCTTATATGCAAAAGATAACTCATTCATCACAAAGCAACAATACATTTACAGTAACTGTTTAAATCAGAACATATGATTATCATGAATTGTAGCAATAGCATTCTAGTGGCCATAAAATTGAACATTTCACGACCGTGTTTGATCACATTAAACAATCTGATTATCCATAATTACCTTAGCAGAAGCTTGTCTCTGGCAGTCATGTCCAAAGCAAGTGCATAACCTTACACCATGCGATTTTTGCTAATCAGATTTAAACTAACCCAAATCATTAACAGCATCATTATATTAAAACTAAACCATTAGAAGTGGCATTATTAACTGATTAATTAAACTAAATCATTAACAACAACACTATTAACTGATTAATTAACTAACCTTAAAAAAAATGGTTAATTAACAAACAACAGTAACATAAATTACAAATTTACCCACGACGTAATCCACGGCGGTGGACTGCGGAACATCGTGAAGTTTCTGAGAGATGATCACCACTAGCTCCACCTCATGGTCCAACGACAACAGAGGGTGAGGGACAATCAACAGTCTAAAATTATTTAAACAATTAATCCACATTGAAAAGCATACATTACAAATCCAAACCAAATTACATCATCCAAGAGATATTTTTAATACCTTTGTTATTGTGCCTTTAAATTGATTACAGCAAAACTTGTTTCTTTTTCCATAGTTTGTGAAGTTCAAATTTTTCAAAAACCTACAATCATTACACAACGTTGTCACATCATAAGTGTAGAAGAAATCACCGCTACCAGAATTTATAAAGACCAAAATAGTTAGCACCAAAAAATAACATTTATTGGCAAAGACCAATTTGCCAACAAAAGTTGAACAGGACTTACGCAGAAAATTTCCTTAGTTTTTACCATTCTTAAAAATATGACCTAACTTTAACTAAGACCCAAATTTTATTGAAGGATCGTGTTAAGCTAAGCAGCAAATTATAAATTCACTAATGTTCTTAATTATAGTAATTTAGAAATCAACCGATACAAAAAAAGTCACAAAGCTTAATAAAAACTCATGAAAAAAAAGTTTTATATACAACACCTGCACATGGCCATATAATTTGGCTAATTTGCAAACACTCAACGTGCTCAGCAGATGTTTAACTCTTCAGTAGTATATAAATTGAAACTAATAAAACAATCTCTTAAGTTTTCAGATATATTTAAACTGAAATGAATTGAATTTTTTTTCACCGATAATTCAAGGTTTGCTACCGAAAAGGAATCTATAATTTAAGCTTCAAAATGCATTACAACATCAATTATCCAAAGAGAGCAAGCTGACAATAACAATTTGATTAGCTTTGGAAATCTCTTTGCTTTATCACTTCACGATACTAAATTTTTTCAAGCCGTCTTCTCTCTCTCTCTAAAACGCCTTTTTTTTTTCTAGCAACTGACCTAGAAAAGACTAAAACCCAAATGCATGGGGTAGAATTTCACCCAAAATATTGGGAAAACTAAATAAACAAATAAAATTAAAAGATAAGTGCATGAAAAATCAAATCTTTCACTCCTATAAAATGAAAGCAATTTTTTTTCCTTTTTTTTGGTCGTTGATGAGTCTAAAATCTCATCCTCATAATACTCAAAAGTAAAAGAAATATAGCAAAAAGATAAGATTTAATTATGGCCCCTGATGGTGCGCTCCTCAAGAGAGAAAGACAATGCTCATAAAGAGAGAAAGACATACGGAGAGAGAAGAGAAAGATGATATGTCTCCATATGGTTTTCTGGAGCCAAAAGAAAAGCTGCAAACGGAAATAAGCTGGAAGGAATCAATTTAAGATAAACGTTCAACAGCAGAAATCAAGAAATCAATTTAAGAAAACTGACCCAGGTAAAGAGGCCCAAGAAGCTCATATGAATGAAAGGATTTTGCTTGCCGCACACGTAGACCTGTAAACTCGAGCAAATCCAACGTCAGTCAGAACATAGGCCGAAAATATCAACAACAAAAAAACTGAGGAAAACTAATGAAAAGGGTTTGAAAACTTTGAGTTTTAATGATAAGGACAAAATAAAGGGTAAAGTGAATAGTACCAGGATTAACTTTTTAGTGTAAAAATGTGGTTTTTCGTTAAAGTGAATAGTACCGGGTGCTTTTCGTTAAAGTTCCCAAAAAACTGAGCACTGTTATCCATCGTAACAAAATCAACTGTGGAGTACTAGACAGTGCAATTACAAAATCGGTATGCGTTCTCAACTACCTTCGTTGTCCTCAAGTCTGAAGACATGGTCAAACTTGAACTGCTTTTTCGAGGAATTAGAACAAATGACCTGCAGCTCGTTATCTAGGGAGGATTGAATTCAACAACGAAAACAGATCTGCTTGAAATTGCAGTTTGATTCAAAGGTCTACATCTGCAGAAAACTCGGATGTTGCCCTTAAGCTCAATCACTTCATTGTAAAGTAAAAAAAGGAGAAGAAAAGCGTGAGAGAGAGAGAAAGCAGACCAGCAAACTGAGAATGGAGGGATAAAGAGGGAGGCTAAACCACATTTAAATACCTGATTGTCTTTACTTAGGAATATGGCATTTTCCATGATCTTTAAACATTTCAAAAGCAGAACCAGGCTCCGCATCATGGCGCTTTCATTTTCCCAAATAGAATGTGAGCTATCTTTTAGCCAACCCTGCATATTAATTTCTGGTGCTTAGTAAGGCAATTTCCCCAATAACAATTGAGCACCATATGGACCCCAGGATTCAAATGAAAAAGGTAAGTACATAAATGAAAAAGTTATATTATGTCTAAGGAATTTTGGTTATCATAACTCAATGTGTATGATGTGCACATAATAAGTAAAGAAAACAAATCAATGACTGAGAAGTGATATTGTTTGCATGCAAAACCACTCATATTACTCCAAGAAGAAAATCAGGAACTACAACGAACAATAAAGAAGATGATGCTATCCAAAGGCAAATAGATAACTGCCCATTTGTTACTATAAAACTACCAAAGTGTAGTCAGCGTTGCTCATAAACTGAAGAAATATATAGGTTACAGAACAGAAGAAACTTGTGAATCTAGATACAACTAAGGCTGCACACCATCATTTTGGTTCTTTACCATCACATGCATTATTTTTTGCACAGAAATTTATTATTTACATAGTGCACCAAGAAATTATTGTTGGAGTAACATAGTGAAGTAAATATCTCTCATAACTATTTAAAGCATTACGGTCCCTTGGTATTCTTTTAACATTTAATGAAACACACAATGAGATCAAACAAACATCTCTGAGAAGTAAGACAGCAAGGAAGCAACATATACAAAGATGCAACTCAAGAAGAAAGAAATTATTATGTTTGGTGTTTTCTTTACTACTCACAAGTACAAGATATGGAGGATGCCTTTGGCTAAAAATTCTATGAAAACCTATCGGGGATAAGAGTCCAAGGAAAAGGAGAAATTGGAAAAGAGGAAGTCTCCCTATATATTCGTAAAAGCTCCAACAAAGTTGATGATGTTTGTACAAGTATTTCGAAGATGGACTAAAGTTAAAGCAAGGGACTTTATCAAAAGAAAAGTTAAGGCATGTGTTATCATGTTGGATAAAGTTAAGGGACAAAGGATCATTCTAATTCACATCTGTCAGAGAAATAAAGCTAAGGTAACAGACATAGGAAGCCAAGTCTTATATGCAAGGTCATTCTTTGCGGTCCAATGAAAACATAGGTGCACTTATAGACAAATGAACAAAGGAAAAGAAGTCAAATACAACTTTTGTTCCCCTTAAACCGACCCATGCTTGGTCTTTGTAGAGAAAAACTACAAGAAGATTTGGGAAAAACATCACTTTGTACAAGTGTTAATGAGAAAGAATGACAAGTATCAAAGACAACACATGTATGGTAGACATGAAGAATGCGTTACTACAAATTTCAGAATGCAATTCTCACCTTTGGAGCCGTGAATCAACGCTTGTTTTCAAACGAACTCAATACTGCAAAATAGTTTATCCTACAACCATGTCAAAAACAAAGTCATGATGGTACTGAAAGCTACTAATGATAAAAGAAAAGTTAAGTAAATTTAGACTACAAAAGCTACCAACATCAAATTAGGCTTATCATCTACCATTACACAAAAAGAAGGGTTTTTACAACCCAACCAAGCTCATTACCTGAAAGAAATAGCAACAAACCAAATTGAAGAGATGCCATTGCCCGGGACTCCTTCACGAAAGAATTTATAAGTTCATCGCAGTTAGAGTTTCATTCCACTCCAAATACATAAGCGAACCCGGAACATAAGGAAAACGCAAATGGGTAACTTGCTTGATTTCTTCCCTTCTTCGTTTTGAGTTTTCGATCCAAAAAGGAAGCACACGAGCAAAAGAACAAGGCAGCAGAAAAACAAAGGTTCTCGTGACCTGCATAAAAGAAAAAAACCCTCTACGATTTAGGAGGAAAAGAGGATAAGTTGGAGCAATTCAAAAGAGTTTGAACTCCACCAATCTACCCATTCTCCATTTGGAATTCAATGGCACAAACCCAAAAGGAATTTCAAAAAAAGAAACCATTGCGAAAGCAACGGGGAGGGCTCAAGTATATCGACATCGCTATTTAGGGAAACAAATACTGGAGCAGGGAAGATTCCTGATTGGGTTTTTGAGTTGTGCATCTCACAGGAACTTAAAGTCCCACTTTGTCTTCCAGTCTCAGCTACTTAAGGAAAAGATTGAATTGTGCGTTTCATGTGGGGCTGGGAGTCCCACTTTATGTCTTCAAATCCTAAGCTGCGTAAGGAAAGGACAAAATCAAACTCCTATTTCTCAAAGCCTATTAGGTAATTACCACAGGTTATATATGGGTTTTAAATAAATCCAAATGGCTTCTCATTTTGCCATAGTCTGAACACAAATCCAAATAAAATATTTTACGAACTACGCTGGTTTGATTTTGTTAAGGATATGTAGGTAGTCTGATATCAATTTTAGACGCAACCATGAAATCAAGACGAATCCCTGGTTTATATAAACTAATTCACTTATGCTACTTTGACCAAGTAATTACAAATTCTACGAAAAGTAAAAGAGAAGTTTGGAAGCACAGTTCCTAGATTTCCAATTAATGTATGATACTCATGCAACGAAGCCGAAGAAAAGTCTTAAATGGCATGAAGCCATGTCAAAAACTAAATGGCACAAAGCCGCTTCAAATGACATAAAGCCGGTTCAAATTACAAATGGCACGAAGCCACATCAAATTTCAAATGCCATGAAGCCGCATCAAATCCAAAAGACACGAAGTAGTATCAAATGCTCCAATAGCTTAAAGTCCTCACTTGCACGGGCTAAAATTGCACAAGGCAACAAAAGCTCCAATGGTTTAAAGTCTTCGCCCGCATGAGCTAAAATTGGTTTAAAGTCTTCACCCGCATGAGCTAAAACTGCACAAGGCATCAAAAGCTCCAATGGCTCAAAGTCCTTGCCCGCATTGTTGGAAATATGCCCTGAAAGTCAATCTTTGGAAGAAACCTTTCAGGACATTGAATGGATGTATAGATGATTCTTGTACATCAAATGGCAAAGATACTAATTAGGACTATCTCAACACACGATATATGTCCTAAATAGTGAATCCATGGACAATGGATTGATGGAAGAAGTAATCTAATGATGTTAGACGACAGAGACCTTCTTCACATAACCATCATGTCCAAAAGGTTCCTGGTCATAGGATTGTCGGAGGGATACTGACAATGCATAGACCGGTACATACTATGTCCGCTTCAATTGGAAGGATGGAAAGTCTCGTCCCATTCGTGTAGTGACACTAAGACAGGTATGTAGGTGCTCATTAAGGGAATGAGTTCACTGAACACAATCGAACGAGAGTACTTGCATAGAGGTCTACTCACATGTCAAGCAAGTAACTCTAATGGTTGGAATAATGTAAGTAGTCATTTGACCTGAGGCATCATAGTTGTCTTGTGGTTAGGTACTTGATCTTTGATTCTGTCAAAGTCACTCCATTTGCGGGTGTCCACGGCATAGTTGGGGTTAAGCCACTTAGTCATGGAGGCAAGTGAATGTGCAACAAGGAATCTCTAATCCTCGTTAAGAGAGGATGAATACTCTAAGATATGATTCGGGAATCTTCGGCCGAAGTATCGAGCGTAATAAAGGAAAGCGTTCCTATACGACTCAAATGAATCATATAAGAAGGAATAATCACATTAGGGGTTTGACATAATATATCCATACCCTAGTAATGTGATTGAGAGTATTGTTTTAGAGAATGATCGAATTACATTGTAATTCTAACTGAATAGGTTCTCCGAACAAATTCTACATTAACTTGGGTAGCCATGATATATGGTTAGATGTCACTCATGACCTGTGAGTTCTTCTAGATGATTAAATGTAGTCGTCAAAGAAGAAGGTGAATTAAAAGTAAGTTTTAATTCACTAAGTGATTGGATTAAATATAATCAATTGGATTGGTGCTAATCACCTCACTGCCTTGCTAATTAGAACCTAAAATGATTGTTCACCAATACACTCTTGTAGTGAGTAACTAATGGATGATGGAAATAATTAATTGGATTAATTAAGTGTTGTGATTAATTAGAATGTCTAAAGAAATCATAAAAGCGATAAAAGATCGTTTTGGGCTTAAAGAAAAGTTCGGGTCTAATTGGGCCCATTGGGCCTAAACCCATTGGGCTTTTATTCAAGCATATGATGACTTGAAATAATAAAAGCCCAAAGCCCAAACAACACTAAAGGGGCCGGCCAAAGGAGGGAGAGAGAGAGAGTCAAATGTTGACTTGTTTCCTTTTGGTTATAAAAGGGCACAAAGTTTCATTAGGGTTTTTTGAAGTGTTAAAACAACAAAAGAGAAAAAAAAATATCTCTCTCAACGCTCAAAGGGCCGGCCACCAAAAGGGGGTTTAGCTAATCATCTTCTCACCCTTTTGGTTATTCCTTCATCCTTCTTACTACTCTAGTGGGTGAGGATCTTTAGAGGTGTTCAACTTTGGAGACTTAAGGAGAACCAAGGAGCACTCATTCTAACAAAGTGGAGGAGGCAAGGAGGGAGGCTAGGCTCAAGGAGTTCCAACAACAAAGGGCTTGGAGGTGGTCCATCCTTGGTCTAAAGTCTAGATCAAGAGGTATAAACTACTCCTACACTTTGTTCTTCAATAAATTGTTTTTGATGCATCTTACATAAACCTATGCATCTTGAAGGGGATTTGCATGACTATAGCTTTGATATTATTTGATAACATGCTTCCGTTGCTTTCGTATATAAATTTTGAATTGTATATGCATGCTAGTCACTAGAAATCCCACATGAAATCTCACAATTTCCCTTCAAGTGGTATCAGAGCCAAAGGTTTATATTTGATGTGTCCTTTTGGATTTTATGCATATGGGTTTTAATTTTATGTATCACATGCTATTGCTTCATTCAAAGTATGTTTATCTTTTGTTTTTCAAATGTTGAAAAATATGAATCAATAGTTGAAAAGATATGTATGCAAAAGTGTTTTGGATGCATGAATGAAGATTGAGTTTAGAACAAAATTTTGGGGTTTTGTTCCAAAAAGGGGGCACGGCAAAGGGGGTTTTTTGGCTAAGTGTTTGTGTTTTATTTTGAATCACACACACACACTTTGAAGCTAGAAAGAATAGATCTTGTCACTTTTGTTTTTGGGTTTGAAAAAATCACCAAGAAAGTACAAATCTTGAAATTGTTTTCATGGTTTTGTTCTTGATGTTCATGGTTTGGTTTTTGGTGAAAATGGTTTCATTTGTTTTTCATACATTGTTTTGTGGTTTTGGATGGTAAACTTACCATCCATAACTTTCCAAAATTTAATTCAATCCTAAACTTGTCTAGATGAATTTCCATCACCTTTTACTAAAGTCCTTAAAGCAAAACCAAGTGACAAGTAAAATTTAATTTTTCTACTTTGTGTTGAATTATTGCATGATGGGTGGGACTTCCCATCCCCTCTTAATATGGCCGGCCACCCTAGTGGATTTCCCACTTGTTGGGGCTATTTTGTAATTTGAAAAAGTTGTTTTACTTTTGAGTATTTACGGTTTGACCCCTAACTTTTTCATATTTGCATTTAGGCCCCTACTATTTGAAAAGTTAAAATATTTGATTTAATTTTATTGGTTGTTTAAACTCATAATATTATTATTATGCCCATATGCACTAAATCTAATTGTTTATGTTGCATTCCAATTGA